TTCGTTGTGGTCGTCGCAATTTCGCAGCCCTCGCACCCCTCGCCCGCACATTTCGGAGACATTGGAGGGCCAGGGTTGTGTCATCGTGGATCAATTCATGGTAACTCTCAGTGTTTTGTAGATGCATGTCTTTTGTCTCATGTCATTGTTTCTGCATGGTTCCCCTCTTTTTTGAGCATTTATATGCATTTCCATTGGGATTAACAGGCGCACCATTCCCTCCAACCCCCAAAACGTTGCATCATCAGTTTTCACCGCGCCAATGAGCTCACAACAACGCCACTGGCGCGCTTGCTAACGCAGGATGGACTTTGGGAGCGAGGATTTGTCACCTCTGAAAGGGCCACCCTTCCAGCACACTGGCCTTTCAAATGCAGCGTGGCAAGACCTAATGAACCCTTGACCGACGTCACCAAGTCCAGCAAACTGTCCTGTAAAAAAATGTCCACCGGAAAAGAATCAACAACGGGGACGGAAAGAACAAAGACGAGTCACGACGAGTCAACCGAAGAAGAATCACAACGCACAAAGACACACAACAACGAAGGGATAACTGATAACGAACGCATTGAGCTTCAAAACCTGTGGTCAGCATACCTTGGCCCTCGAACGCAACAAGTCTCGACATAGTTGGCCCCCCCTGCCCCCGCCCCCCCCCCCACCGTCCCTTCCACAGCACGTCGAAACCAAGACTGAAACGGAACATGCTAGAACTGGCGGAACACGAACGCCCGTGCGAGTCACGAGAGGTCGTGACCACAGAAGCACACTACAATGCCATCGGCAACAGATAAGCACCATCTCACCAGCAGTGAAGAAAACGCTATATATTGCCACCAGCACAGAATTTGCCACCCGCCACCGGCATTCAACGTGCCAGTACCGCAGGTTACCATGCCCACTACACGACTGGGGAGAGCCGAGCAACTTATACTTGGAAAAAACTGGCCGAGCAGTGCAAATGAAGGCACACTTGCTCGACTATCGTGAGAACGTGCAACGTTCACCGCTGGAGAAAGCCGTATCCCAACGACAGCTGCCTGATCGCACACCTGGGATTTCACATCTTTTTGAGCCACTTGTCGCAAACCAATTTACGAAACACTAGACTTGTCAGGACAACCTCGATGCAAAAACAACCTTCACGGTGCTGCGTCTTGGCCTCACCAATGTTTCCATACCCGAGGACGCCCATGGTTTTGCCCATCAAAGTGGGGTGGGCTGTCAGAGAGTAGTCTGTGGGACAGGAAGCCGGCGCGCCAGCGCCAAAAGCGCAGCAAACAAAATTGCAGCTGCTTGGAAGCCAAATGATAAGTCCTGGGGGACATCAAAAACAGCTGGGAAGGACTAGGAAACGGTAAGGCATTCTATAGGGTTACACGCTTAATAAAAAATTTGAAATATATAAATATAAATCAACAGTCGAAGAATATCCCTGGCCCTTCTTCCATTCTGAGCGTCCACTGAAATGCTGCTGCGATCACAAATTCTGCGATGGGCTCGACTCCGTATGATCGCCATGGGACATCGTACTTTGCAACTGTGACTGTAGCAGGGATTGTGGACAAGCGCGGGTGCCTGGAGAAACAAAAATTTGGCGTGTTTTTACAACCTGCCCGCGAATTCACTTGTCAGATTCTGCTATATAGGGCGCATATAGTGAGAACTTTGCATCAGCGTCAAGCTGGGCAGCTGCTCCAAGATGGTAATGTTCCGGGGCATGCCCACAACAGCGGTGGTTCTACTCCTGAAGAATGAGCGGGGCAAACTTGAAGTGGTCCACCCGTCCACCTCGCCTTCTTTGCTGTCCTGTCGGCTGCGCTCAGATCATCGTAGGGTTCAGGGCATTGCCGAAGAGCTACCTGCCCATGCAAGATCCAAGTCGAGTCGAGTGGCATTGCTGTCCAGCCCAACAGTGTTGCCCAAGCAAAAGCGGAACATCACTACAGTCGGACCAGAAAAGTTGCGACGGACAAGTGGGCCTTGGAACCCACGTTCTTGGCCAAATCAGATAGATACTGAGGCCTGGCTCATCTGTCATGTGGGCCCCGCAATGTTGAAGGGAGCTTCACCAAATGGGTGGAACAAAATGCCTATACTACACTTTGATTTCGGGTTCACAACTGTTGTATATACATGCTCTCAGCATCCCTCGGTGCAGCAAAAGCAATCACATACTCGTATCCGAGAATATATATATATGATTATATACATATATACCTGCTTATATCTATGTACGTATGTATATACATGCTTTTTGGGTATCACAACTACGCCCAATTGTGAACAGTGCAAACGCATGGCCGAAGCCGTGATCAGTACATTGAAAGAAACATGTTTCCTAAAACGGTGGCCAAATTGATTGTATTGATTGTCATTGTTCGGTGTCGCCGCACTGATCAAAAATAATGTACAACTCTGTATATATATAATTTATAATGTATGTTTTTATATTAATATATATACGAAGTCGAAAGTGGCGCTCGCAGTCTACCAACAGCAAAGAAAACCGCAGCGCGCAAACCGGTGCCGCACGGCGCAAACCTTTTCGCGGCAAAGTCCCGCCCTTGCTTGAGGCGGAAGGGTTACAGTTGGAATCGGTTCATGTTGAACAGCGTTCAACTCACATGGGGGAAGATCTTAGTTCTCTGCCTCCGGTGCTAAGACACTCGCAATCACCTGCTCTGTTCGCAAGGTGTTTGCCTCTAACCACAAAGCAATGGCCATTCGCAAGGAGCGTCCTCCCTGGATGGACACATTGTCTGGAGGGAGAATCCTCGTGGCGCACAAGGCACAGGGATCAAAAAGATCTACCATCCGCGGATCGTGGCCTTCAAGTCAAGTGAGCTGCAGTGCGAATCGATGCGCATCCTCCGGCCCCTGCGGTTGATGTGGACGCCGCCGCGCCGCGTGGGCATTCCAGTCGATTCGACACGCTGATCCATCTTTGTGAGACAACGGGGTCATGATGCGCCCAGCGCGGAACAGGAGTTGCTCGCAATTTTTCATGTTGGCCACCGCAAGATCGCCCTCGCGATGCTCGATGGCAGAGTTCCTGGACACCTGGTCACGGTGGTCTCGTAAACTGGGGCCACCGCTGGGGTGGATCGTCACGATCATCATCCAGAAACGGTCCTCGCCTTCCACATCATTTCCAGTGGTTGCCATTCGGCATGTGGACCACGACATGGCTTGGCTCGGCGCTGAGGGCATTCTCAGGCTCAAAGGTCTCCTCAGTGCTCAGGGCATACCCACATCTCCATCAAGTAGGAGACGGGGCACTGGTAATAGCCAAGTTGAAGCTTTCATGGAGCTCCCATTCACCTGCGTCGTCCACGCGAGCTTCACCAGGTAGGTGTCCATGAGGTAGTCCGTCAGCTTCGGCTGTAGGGCAGAGGGCGCTCTCCTCAAGGCTCGCAAGTAGTTCTTCCTTCCTCTTCTTCTTGGCGGCCTTGTAGTTATAGGGTCCCAGATGAACTTCAACTGGCATAGCGAAGTCTCTGAGCCAGGCGCTTTCCTGGGTCAGGACGCACCCGCTCTCTTTCTGCCTGTGTCTCTCGGCGGTGTGACTGGAAGCAGGCATTTTACGCCTTGGAAGCACGGACACCAGGAACCTCCATAGCTGCACGCTGGCCAATGACATCGTCTTCTGCGGGATCTAAAGGCAAGGACCCGGCCACAACCAAAGCAGCAGGCAGCGCCACAAGTAGGCCTCCTCCAACCATCACAACCAAGCAAAATTCCAGGTCTGGCCTGAACCACATTGGGATCGGGAGGCCTGTGAATTCTGAACAACTCGACTCGACATTCTCTTGCACCAGCGGGACTATAGCCTCTAGCTCCATTGGTAGATCTGTTCAGGATACGGAAGGTTTGCCCCCGAACAGTAGTCTAGACCTTGGAACAGGCTGGCCCGTGAAGTCTCCAAGCAATGCATTGTAGTCAGAAGCCTTCTCCACTTGCACAGCGGAAGAGATTCCGGCTGCCTTAATGACCATGTAGGTGGCGTTGGCCAAGTCACAAGGCGTCGAAGGCCGGGGCTTGTTGACCTTCCCTCAGGCACAAATCCGCTGTCTAAAGGATAGCTTACCTCCACGCAGGTTTCCACACAAAGCGAAGAGCCTCGCTTGAAAGCTCAGGGATCGCAGCAGCCAGTGAAATGTAGACAGCGCGGGCAACCCGGCCTGCTATTTTGCGACCAGCCGGCCGGCCGGCCGGCCAAGTAGTAGTAGTAGTCGTCGTCGTCGTCATCGTCGTCGTCGTCCTCCTCGTGGTGGTGGTGGTGGTACTAGTAGTAGTAGTAGTCGTCGTCGTCGTCGTCGTCGTCGTAGTCGTAGTCGTAGTAGTAGTAGTAGTAGTAGTAGTAGTAGCAGGAGTAGGAGTAGGAGTAGTAGTAGTAGTAGTAGACTACTAGCAGTAGACTACTAGCAGTACTAGACTAGTAGTAGTACTAGACCAGTAGTGGTAGTAGTAGTAGTCGTCGTCGTCGTAGTAGTAGTAGTCGTCGTAGTCGTAGTCGTAGTAGTAGTCGTCGTCGTCGTGGTGGTAGTAAGTAGTAGTAGTAGCGATTTCTTCCGCGGCCGGCCGGCCGGCTGGCACCTTGATCGGCCGGCCGGCCGGCTGGCAATAGCGGCCGGCCGGCCGGCCGGCCATGTACTAGTAGTAGTAGTAGTAGTAGTAGAAGTAGTAGTAGTAGTAGTGGTAGTGGTAATGGTAATGGTACCGGTAGTGGTAGTAGTAGTAGTAGCAGTAGTAGCAGAGTAGCAGTAGTATACTAGTAGTAGTAGTAGTAGTAGTGGTAGTGGTAGTGGTAGTAGTAGTAGTAGTAGCCGACGGTCGTTGGTCAGCCGTCCGGCCGGCCGGCTGGACCGTGGATCTTGGCCGGCCGGCCGGCTGGACCGTGGATCTTGGCCGGCCGACCGGCCGGCCAGCTGGACCGTGGATCTTGGCCGGCCGGCCGGTCGGGGAGCTCGACGCAGTCCTGGCAGGAGTAGGAGGGCGAGCTGTACCAGAAGCCAGCTCAAAGTCGTTGACGGAGCCGGCGCCCACTCGTTTCCAACTCAATCACCTTCCTCTCAAGGATGTCAACCCTCAGTAACAGCTGCTGAACTTGCAAGCGAAGAAGTTCAACAGCCTACAAGTAAGCCTGAGTCCGACTCAGGCTGGGAGATTGGCCTTGGAAACCCTGTGGGCTGAGAGCCCCAGAGATGGGAGTGAAGGCCGAAACGAAAAAATCAGAAGGATGACAAGGACCAATCCAGTCCAAAGACCAACCCCACAAAAAGCCTGAAAGGAAGGCAAGGATGAGTGCAGTGATCGAAGGCGAACCGCAATGGAATGGGCAGGCTAATCCCCACAGATTGGTCTCGATGCCTATAGCCTGAGAAAATCTAGGGCCGAAGACAACGAAAACGGTGTGGTGATAGAAAAAGCTTGAGCAACAGACAGCATCCATTGGTCGCGTTCCTTCTGGTCAACCCGTCAGCAGAGGACATCCAGCAAAGACCTCCGCTAAGTGCCAAAAGACGTTCCTTCAGCGCACAGGCCTCCAAAGAAACTCTCTTGTCAACCACGGACGCGCCATCTTGATGGAAGGACTCATAAAGCGCTTTCGCATCCGTCACCATGGTGGGCTCCAACGTTGAAGGGCAATCCAACAATTCCTTGAGCTCCTTCTGAGGGTCGAGGAGGCAGTTCCAGTAAACATAAACAAGGCATCGCACGCTTGGCCCTCCTTGTCCAGCACATGGCACGCTCCTTCAGGTCCGTCAGGTTGGAGCAGGCTCTTGTTGATCGTGAGGATGATGTATCCGATCTGTGAGCTACCATCTGTGCGAGTGGCGAAAGCGGCGTCGAAGAAGCAGAGAAGTTTGAGATCTTGGACTTCCCCGTTGTTGTTGTAAATGAGGCCGACATCGGAGTTCTCCTTGGCACCCTAAGTCTTCTGAAGTAGAAATTTTACTAAATGGTTGAAATTACTAAAATTGAAAAATTACTATATAAAAAAAACTAAAGAATGCATTCTTAGTAATTGTGTGAGAACTCAAAAATGCATCAACAGTGCATCAAAAGTGCAGTCGGTTGCAGTCAGCCATCGTCTGCACAGTGGCCTTGGAGACATAGCCACTGAGAATTGAAGTGCTCAGTGCAGCAACCTAGTAGTGCTCGAAGTTGCGACACATCCTTCTCAGCTGCAGTTGCAGTGTTGGTCAGAGAACGGCGCTTGTGAAAGGCGATGGGCTTCACTTTCTTCATGTAGTTGGCTTGCTCGATCTTGTAGCCGTGCTCCTCGGTCATCTTGAGGTCAGAACCGCAGTACGAGAGGTCAGAACCATCTTGACCAGTTTTCCATTTGGCCTGGAGCATAGCACGGGGAGGTCTCTGCACCACATCCCAACACGTCGTCCACGCGCACGATAATCAAGCCACAGAGTCCATGAGGACCAAGCAGTTGACACAGTATATACCATGACCTGGAGCATCGATTGGGCCATCGCAAGGCTTCAAAAGCAGCATTCGGGCGTCTGTGGACGCACCCAACAGCTGAAGACATGCGGCCGGAAGTTGAACATAGCTTGCGGCTTTGTGGCTTTCCTTGCAAGAAGGCCGTAGCAATGTCAGATGTCCACACCTTCCAGGACATAGTTGCGGCCAAGCTCAGCAGCACGGAGCGCGACAAGCGTGTGGTGGTAGGAGAGGAAGTAGGACTTGAAGCTCTTTGACCTTGGCTGCCTTGTACTGAGCATCAGGAGTCATCGTCCTTTCTAAGAGGTTGTTCTTGTCCTTCTTGAAAGCCTTGGCGTGCTTCTGCTTGGTGATCTTCCCCTTTGCTTGGCTCCGACAAGAGGTTCCTTGACGTACATGGCCAGCCCTTTGCCAACACTGCCATTGATTTGGAAGACTGTGACGCCGGTCCGAAGAGGCGTCCAATGGCGGCGCAGTGCAGACTCCATCGTCAGTCTGCTGTGTACAACGACCGTTGCTGCCAAAGATCACCGTCACGCGGACGTTGTCCAATTGATGGG